CAGGGACTCCGGAACTCTTTTATTTCTCCCTCATCTTCCTTGTTCCCACCCTCTCTGACATTACGTAAATCCTCGCTTCGCCTCCTTCGGATGTATTGTGTACATCATCTTGTGCTCTTAAATGCCACGGAAAATTACCATACATTTGTATTACAACCGCGCTAAACTGTCTCCGAATCGGATTGTGAAATGATCGTCTTCCGATCAAGTTTCTAGTCTATATAGCGATTTCGCCGGTAGTGAAAAAATATTATTTCAGCTGAAAGCGCCCATGGATTCATTTATTGTGCAAAACGCATGGGTATTTATAGGGAACAGAGAAGGCATGGTAATGTATATACAAAATGATTGGTTATTTAACTTGTTTTCAACTGCTATGACCAATCGCCTGAGTTCGTTTACCTTTTTCTGATTGGTTATCTTAGGACAAAGCGGTTTTATCGGAGTACGATCATTTGTTGATAATTTTATTCAGGTTTTGACCAGTTACTGTATAAAGTTCAGGAATAACGGTTCTGACTCCGAACTCAAAGGTTCGCAGTTGGACTACTCCCTGGGACGTAACGTAGATCGGTCCCTCTAGGTGATGAATAGTAGTAAATCAGAAACAATACTAAAACGTCGATTCTACCTTCAATCGTCCTGTTTTCCTCCTGATGTTCATACAAATGGGCAGCCAAACGACAGTCACCAAAATTGTCACACGGAAGTGCACGTTTAATGGTTGCTTAAATTGAACTAAACTGAAGTGAATCCATTGAAAACACACAGCTCTTCCTACCCACTTTGTTTACGATGCTCTTTGCGACTGTCTTCGCAATTAATCGGGAAAAAGTAGGGTGACTCAGTAACGACCTTACTCACTATTCTAGTAATTCCAGAAGGCCATGCTGATCAAAGATAGTCGCTTATTGCAAATAACGATCAGGATATGGTTAAATTGTCTTTCATGTAACAAAATATCTCATTTGATACAAGTTTGCAGAGTTCTCACAAACACACTGGATATATAATGCAGTGGTTCACTATGAGATGCGTATTCGTGTGTTCACTGTGCCCGAGTAGCAACAGTTTGCTCCAACAGATCTTGCTCATTTTTGGTCGTTGAAAGAAACCGCTGCGGGCAACTTTTTGCGCACTACTCACGAATGAGTGGTATCTGAAAACACGGGTATTATCCGCAATCCACAGCACTGAATACATCTGACCGAGCCTCACGATCTCCGCTCGTCTACTACAATTGCTGCTGACAATCTTCCAATGGAACAATGGTGTTTTTTATCAGTAATCGGTCCTATACTTTATCAGTATCTGAACAGATCGGAACCTATCACAAAGAGTGTCCAGTGTACACCACACACAGTTCGTGAACACATCGGTTCAAGTACTTTTACCCACCATTTACGGACGAGGTGCATTCCCGAGCCCCCATTCGGAGACTTGCTGGTCAAAACCTAGCTCTCTAGATAGTGGTGGGATGGTTCACTTTTCCTTGCATTGCCCAACAAGCTTATTGGTCATTCCGTGAATTTACGATGAGCTGGATAATCTAATCGCCGTTCAGCTCTAGTTCAATTTATATTCGCTTTGGTAAAGCGCGTCAATATGACAACACTTGCTTCCGGAACTGGTTACCGTCCTCATTCATTTTTTTCGTTCTTCCGTGTTTCTCAATATCTTGTTGCACCGTCTCAGGATGTTTTGTACGATTAT